GCGCGCCGCCGCTCGTCGACGAGCCGCCGGCGCGCACGCCTGGAGCGACACCGGTGGAGCCGACGCCCGAGCCAAAGCCAGGGTAGCAGACCTTGAAGATCTCGCGCACGGTCATGTGGATCGGCGCCGAGAACGAGCGCGAGTCGGGGGAGTGGCGTGTTATGAACTCGGCCACCGCCTTGTAGGTGGCGGCGTTGGTCGTCCTGTCGCCATCGCGCCGCACCTGCAGCTGCACCAGCTCGGCGACGGCCCCGTACTTCAAGCGGTACGGCAGCACGCCGCCCGTCGGCGTGAAGCTGCCCCCCACCACGCTCCCGATATCGGCCAGGTACGGGTTGTGGCCGGCCTGGTGCAGCTTGAGCCGCTGCCACGCGCCGTGCAGCGCTCGGCGGACGCGGAGGACGTAGGCCCACACCTCCTCGCCGCCGCGCTCCATCGTGCCGTATTGCAGCGACGGCGGCAGCGTGCGGTCGAGCGCGAGCCACAGGCTGCGGTGCCGTGCACTCGCCGCGTGCGCCTTGCTGCTGCTCGCAAATGCGCAGAGGTCGGGACCGCCGAGCAGCTCGAGGACGAGGAGCAACTCGTCGAGGCCGAGCCGCAGCAGAGGCGGCGGAGGGCGCGAACGCAGGGCCGCCGCGATTGCGCGGCACCGCTCCGCGCACTCCCGTGGCGGCCTGCCAACGGCGCGCGAGATGCGGTCCCAGCGCTCTCGCACAGGGACGCCCGACGCTCTCGTATCGCGGAGCGCGCTCTCCAGCCGTCGCTGCTGCTCGCGCGTCCAGATTTCGCTTGTTGACGGCATGTATTCATACTGTGCCGGCTACCCAATCTAGCGTTAGTAGCCGCTCCGCGGCACATCGTTGGGCCGGTTCGATGTTCTGAGCATGCCGTGTGATTTTGGTACGATGTTTCTGGACTAAATCGTTCATAATTAACAAACCCAAGTAGACTGCCGATCGCGTGTGGCCTGGTCCGCAGAAAGCTCAGACACACGAGCAAGGGGGGGGACAAGCGTAAAAAGGGAGAGAGAGAGAGAGAGAGAGAGAGAGAGAGAGAGAGAGAGAAACCGCCAATGGCCGTTATCCGTTAGTGCGGACGTCGCCGCGGCTCGCCTCTGCCGCGGCGGCTGCCGCGCGCACGCGGCGGCGCCGCTCTCTCGCGAGACGGCTGGCGACGCGGCTCGCCGCCGACGTACGGTGCGCTCGTCCGACGGTCCGCAGCGTGGCGTGCGCGGCGCTGAGCGCCGCTCTGCGAGCGCCTCTGCGCCTGCACTGCCTGTCTCTGTTGCTGGTGGTGGTGGTGGTGCTGCTGCTGCTGGTGCCGATGCTGCTGCTGGCGCGGCGCGGCTGTGCGACTGGGCTCGACGCGCGCGTCGCGAGCGTCTGACGCGGCGGGCGGCGTCGGGCAGGTGCGCTTCTCTCTCGGGTGGTGGTGGTGGTGCTGCTGCTGCTGCTGGTGGTGCAGATGCTGCTGCTGGTGCGGCGCGGCTCTCCGACGCGACTCGATGCGCGCGTCGCGGCTATCTGACGCGGCGGGCGGCGTCGCGGGCGGCAGCGATCGCGGCTCGACGGTGGAGGTGGTGGGTGGTGGCTGTGGTGGACTTTGAGTTTATTTCATGGTCGTGTACGGGGACCGGGGGGTCAACCGGGAGGCAGGGGGTTCAACCAGGCGACGGAGGACCGTGGGCCATCGCGGGGACTGCTGCGTACGGAGGGCGCGGCAGATAGATCCGGATGGTCTCACCCGGTGGGAGGCACCGAGGCGTCTTGGACGCTCAGCTCTACCTTAAGCTCCTGAGAGGCTGCCGCGCACCCGCGCGCTACGCGACTACGAACTGCACCAGCTGGGCTCGAACCAACGACCAAAACGTCCCCGACCCGAACGCTGCACCAACTAGGCCACACCGCAGGCTCGATATGCAATACGCACAAAACTGGCCGCTCATAAAGCACTACTCATTTGCTGAGGCCACGCGGCGCCCCTCCACAGCCAGCCTACCCTCCTATCGCGCCACTCGAAGCCCCGCGGCCGCCTCTCGCCTACCGCGCTGCCCTCGCCTGCCACCGCACCGCCCGCGCTCCAGCCTAACCAGCTCTGCATCTCGCAACACACACTTGACAGGGACAGACCAGGCGCAGGAAAAGGGAGCGGGGCCCGAATCCAAGGGACCACCCCGTCGGGCGGAGGAGCTGTGAACTCAGGTCCAGCAGGAAGGCTGCTGGCTCCTGACTCATCCCCCAAATCCCCCACACCTTGGCGGCCTGAAACCTTACCATTCCGACACCTCACACACACCCCTCCCCTAGGGCTAAGCAGTGCGCGAGCCCACCCGACTTCAGGCGAGACGTTGACCACTCCTTTGGAACAGTTCTGTCAGTGGCTGCACTAGACGCCCACAGAGGCGCGCGGCGCGGGCAGATGACTAGGGGAGAAAAAGCGGAGAACCTAGCTCGCTGGGAGATGTGCGCAACCTAAAGACGGGAATAGGGGAGAAGTGTCAGTGTGAGGGGAGGGCGTAGGCTGGCGTTTTTGCCTTTGAAAACTGAACAGTTTTTTTCTCTTGGCTTAAATACGAGTCTTAACACGAGTGATTACGACGCTGGTCGCCCGACGACGCAGCACCAGCGAGCGGAAAACTCACCTCTCATGCCAAGACGCAAGAGCACTGTGCCCGGCCCAGATAGACAGCTAGAGAGACGTGCATCGACAATGCTGCGCGCGAACGCTCAGAGATCCGCCTCCTCTAGGTGTATGACGAGGAATTGACACCCACAGACAGCATTTTGTTAGCCGGCGAGGTGTCGCCTCGGCTGCGGGAGATTGAGATTACCCACCAGATCACTGCGGCACCAGGACGGTCTGGGCTCGGCTCAAAGTCGAGCGTGAGGGTGACCTCTAGGTCGCAGCCTCACGCGCAGCCCATCAGCGCACCTGTAGCAAGGCGTCCAGGATGAGGTTACGGGCTGCGCGCTGCATCTCGCCTGTGCTGCTGCAAAGGGTTTGGAGGGCAACGGGCGCAAGAGGTAGGTGTGGCGGGTGGTGGCATGCACCCTCGCACGCGATTCATCTGCCCCGGAGCATGCCCGTTCGCGTGTTGCCGTCGCGTACTCGACAGACATGAGTGATGCAGCTCTGAACATCCAGGTACGAGCGGCGTCTTGGCTGCCTGACGTGGAATGCGGCGCCATCGTGACGCTTCTGGCTGGCGGTAAGCCAGCAGTATCTCGCGGGCGGGTACGATCTTACGCGCGAGACAAGTCGCGAGGGTCCATCCGTCGGTGTGAGGGCCGCGCGCGCCTCTTCGAGCGAACGGAGAGCAGGGTTTACCGGCCGCTCCACCCGCCTGTGGCCCCGCTGTGCCACACCCGCTCGGCACCATGGTGGAGGTGCAGGTTTGGGTCAGAGCGGTAGGACGAGTTGGTTTGGAGCGTAGGGCATCGCATGGCAACGACAGGGACCGCAGGTACGGCTGTGAAGCGCGCCACAGTCCATCCGCGACACGGCGTGGGTCGGGCGCCGCGTCAAGTTATACGAGGGTAAATAAAGAATTTAGAAAGCTTTGGACCGCAAGGGCCGCCACCATACCCGCCGCCCCTGCCACCGCCTCCACCCCCGCCGCCGGCGGGGCCGCCACCGTGTGGACCCGCTCGGAATAACCTGGGGGATCCGGAACCGCCCCGCCGGAGGCTGGCGTACCCGGGAGAAGGAGCTGGGAGGGGGGAGTTGCCGCAACACAATAACGAACCCGCCGGCGAGCCGGAGGGCCGAGACCGGAGGGCCCCGGGGGGGGGCTGGGGTCAGCTGTCGGAGGAAGGCGAGAGACGAGCTGACGCGGCCTCTGCGAGTAGAGTCGGGACGGACGGACGAGCCGAGGACGATAGAGAGACCGCGGGGGCGGGCGCGAGTCCTCGACCGAAGAGAGCTGGCCCCACCCCCCGGGGAGGGGCGGCGTGGCGATCGAATGCCGCCGCCCTCACCCGAGGAGTCGGGCACGGGATCGCCGGAGGCGGAGGCAACAAGAATAGCCCCCGAAGACGAGACGGCGGCGAGGCCGCGGTCGAAGAAGTATAAGAGGGGAAGGCGGGCTCCGCAGCCGACGCCGAACCATCGGAAATCGAACAGGAGGGAGGACCGGGAGGAGAGGGGAGCCCCCTCGGATGGGGGGTGGGGAGATCGGGCGGAGGAGCCCTGAGTGGCGATGTCGGGTGAGAGTGTACGTCATGCTCGTGTCTAGTGTCTGGTGTTTACTAGCTCCGAGTAGAGGGGGCGTTCCGCCGCTAGGGGACACCCAAAGCGCAGAACTAACCCTCGGAGACCCGTGTTTACTTTAAGGCCCTTGCCCTGCGAATGCGCGCCCCCCCCTAGCTAGGGGTCAGGGCTCTCTAGCCCGTAGCCCGATGCCGATCATCCGGCCCGCTGGATGCGCTTCTCAGCTAATGTGGTGGGCCCACGCGACGGAGATCTCATCGACCGATCGGTTGGCGACGGCCAAGGCGCGCGATACACACTCCCCCTCGGCATACCTCCGCTACTTACTTAATGTTTGACGACTCGAACCCGTGAAGCTTCCCCGTGCGCGGGTTCGAGACGGTCTGACGAGCTTCCATGGCCTGCACGCTAGGAGCAATGAATACTATTACGAAAAGTACAACTAGTGCGACACAAACTAGTCCCTCTCGTAATCGCGCCAAGAGCGCGGATACACACACAAACAAACAACACGGTCGCTTCGCGACCAGATCTCGGGAGGGGGCGACGCTCATCGTGGGCCAGTCGAAGGTGTCCCCCGGCTTGCTCCCGCTCGACGAGCCCGGATCACGACGAGCGTGCGTTGGTGAGCCACCAGGTGGTTGTGGTGCTTGATGCAGCAATCGGCACGCGCTCTGCAGCAGGAAGACGGACATAACATCTGGCAGAGCACACGCGCTCTGCAGCAGATAGACGGACGTTACATCTGGCAGAGCACGCGCGCGTGTTCGCCGCGGCCAGAGTGCAGCGGCATGCCCTTTGATGCCAGCCTCTCCGTGATTGTGACCGGGTTTGAGAACTCAGGGACGACCGTGCTCTCTCAGCTGATCATGTCCTCGCCGCACATTTTTGGTGCCTTTGAATGCGGCCTACTGCTGGCCTGCTCGCCACGCGAGTTCACGCGCGTCCAGCCCTTTCACAATTGGCTTCCACAACGCTGGCGCCTGCCAGGGCGGGATGCGGCGGCGCAGATTGACAAGGCTGCGTGCCACCAGCATGCGTACAGCATTTTGCTTAACCAGTCGCTGTGCCTACAGCGGGTGGGCGCAAAGTCATTGCTGGACAAGACGCCAGCATACGTTTATGTTCTCGACGAAGTCATGCGTAGCACACCAGGGGTGCCTGTGGTGGTCGCGCAGAAGTCGCAAGCCTCCCAGCTGCACTCGTGGGCAAAGCGTGGTGTGCGCGGTGACGAAGCGTTCAAACGGTACGGTGCCGGAGTCGCCGCGCACAAGCGGGCGGCCACTGCGTTTCCCGAACGCCTCCGTACCGTTGACACGCATTTGCTCGAGGCCTGCCCGGCAATGCGGAGTGGCAACGTTTCCGATTTGTCGGCGGAAGGCTGCGCTGCGGCAAACGCGACGCTCGCGTCAGTCTACCGCTGGCTTTCCCGCTTCGATCCTCATGCTGCGTGGGGTGCGTGGGACGCTCGGTATCTCACGCTCGCCACACACAAGGCAAAAGCTGTCGCGTGCAAGCGTTGACCTTAGCAAGACCATCGCGCAGCGATCTTTGAGGCGGAGCAGCATGGGCAGGTAAAGGCAGACGCCGAGGCAGCAGAGTGCAGAGGCAGACGCCGAGGCAGCAGAGAGGCGAACGGTCGCACACCTGAGTCCACTGGTATGGCGCAGCATGCTTGGCAAGAAAGCAAGCTAGGTGTCAGTGGAGAGACCACTTCACAGCTGTATGCCTTGCTCCTTTAGGTGCTCTTAGTATGTTCTGACTCATCCGTCCCTGACTGCCTGAGTACACTCCCTTCGTATTGTCTTGTACTTGGCGTCCTGTGGGTGTGTTCACAGTCTTGTGTGAATTTCGGCGTCCGCCGAAATTCAAGGTCCGTCGGTCTCTTTTGACCGCGGCGTTAGAGAGAGTCTTTGCTTGTCATGCCTTTTGCCTTCTCTCTGGCGCTCCCGCTCCTGGCCGCGGTGTGATTACACCGACATGGAGCCCTCGTGAGGTGGACGAACCCCCCGACCTTCGTACCCTCGAGGCCGCCGAGACGCTCCACCTCGGCACACGGCCCGTGGATGGACCTGTGGAGCCTCCAGCAAAAGCTGCACCCCCCTTTTGGTGGATGCTCTGCGACTGGCTCGACGCACCGCGCTCGCCCGAACCGGCTGCTGTCAGCGTCACCGCTTGCGATCTCGATGACCGCTACCAAAAGTTCGGAGGCGCCGCCGCCGCCGCCGCCGCCGCCGCCGGCTCGTCTCGTCTCGTCTTGTCGCAGGCGCACACGCGCGCGTCCGCGTCGCTCCGCGATCGCGAAGCCGAGTTCGAACCATGGACCGCAGAGCTGGTGAGCTCAGCCAAAACAGCTCCGAGCAACATCTCCTACGCCATGCTGATCCAACAAGTCATATGGGTCAACATCGCTCGTTCGGCGCGCTGGGGACACTGTTACGCTTTCAAGTTTCCGTGGCCATTATGGAGATTTTCGGAGTACGTGACGGACGTCATTCGTTTTCCGGATCCCTACTACGCGTCTCCTTTCTTTGCCACCCCTCACTTTCTCACCCAGTCGTGCGCATGGTATGCCTCAGTACGACCAACCGAGAATATTGACAGGGTGGGGAGATGGTTCTCGGAAACTGCCGTCTCGACTGCGCCTACCCCTGCATCGCCCACCACCGCGCGGCATGAGCTTGGCGCCCCTTTGCCGGCGCTCATGCTCGTGCACGCCGCGTTCGCGATGCCTACCACTCGCTGCGCCAACGACAGAGGGCGCCCTCATCAGACTGTGCGATGCATCGAGTGCCGCCGCTTGTGGCCCTACTGGGAGAGGTTCTCCTCGAGCTCCGAAGAGAGAGGCCGCGGCACGGGGGGGGGGGGGGGGGAGGGTGGCGGCGCACATAGTCAGCCGTGCACTCGCTGAAGCTTGCACTGTCTATCGAGACATCGCCGCTGCCGCTCACGTACACAGCGCCACCCTGAACGAGGCGGGCAGCGCTAGCAGGGCGTCAGTGTCCCGCCCGGGCAAGCAGAGTGGCTCTCGGGGAGGCGTCCAATTTTCTGCACGGTGAAGCATCGCGCCGAGCAGTGTGTGGGAGGGAGAGGGCGTAAGACGCACCGCGCCAGCCGTACACTCGCTGAAGCTGACACCTTTCATCGAGACGTCGCCGCTGGCCTCCACGATCACAGCGCCGCCACCCTGGACGAGGACGGGCAGCGCAAGCTGGGCGTCAGCGGGCGAGGTGCGAAGCCGCACGAAGAACTCGGCGATGCCGCAATGATGCAGGTGGGATGGTGGGTGGACCCTGTCCTTCTTCGATCTCCCACCCCTCGTTGTTTGCGTGTCCGTTTTATTGATTGATCTTCTAGGTAGAGGTGTTCGTTGGAGCACCTGGAGCACTCTTGCACCGTTGCAGTCGATAGCCTCACACCCAGGGCCAGGGAGCTAAGAAGCGCACCCAGCTCCTGAGCCGCCTGATCTGAGACAGCCTGACAGCAATGAGCAAACCCCGGACGACACTCGACAGCGCCGGCCGTACGCAGTACTTCGGAATTATACTTATACCTCCTCCCACCAAGAGAACGGCTTTACCTTTACTTTGATATCTTTATCTTCAAGAGATTGATGACTGTTTATCGCACCGCCTCCTCCAAGGAGAGCCAGTGCGCCACTAACGGTAGAGAGGGCCTCGCTCCCCGGCACCTCCGCCCGACGAGACCCCCGCCCCCCGCCCCCCCCACGCCGCGCCACCAACCTCCTCCCACGCCTCTCCCTCTCCGCCGGCCGCGGCCTCCTAGAGCTCCGTCCTCCGCCGCACCGTGCACCGCCCAACCCCCACACCCCGCCGCCTTCACGACGTGATGTTGAGCGTGGCGTAGCGGCCGCTGCTCGCAGACGCCGTCTTGCCGCCGCGGCCGGTGGGGGCGGCGGCGCTGCCCGACGGCCTCCCCGCGGGCGCGTGCGGCTGTTTGAAGAGCTGCGGCTGCGAGGCGGGCGGAGGCATCGCCACCGCGCGGTTGGGCTCCATCACGGCGGCCTGAAGCGGACGCGCCAGCGAACCGCCGCCGTGCCGCGGCGGCGCGGCGGCGGCGGCAACCCCGCCGCCCTTGCGGGCGGGAAGGTGGGGCGGGTGGCGCCGGCTCGGCTCGGCCGCCGCACGCGGCGCCGCCGCAACACGCTGCCGCTTGGGCTGGTCGTACGACCCCTGCGCCCGCCTCTGGTGCCACGCTCCGTCCTCGCCTTCGTCCGAGTACTCGGAGATGTCCTCGAGCGGCGACGCCGGCCGAAAAGGCTGCGGCGCGGCGTCGGACGCCTCGCTAAGGCCCCTCATCCACGGGTGCTCCTGTTCACGGCCGGGAGGTGTGAAGAGACGCCGATAAACGCCGCCAGCACCTCTGAGGCCCGACGGCTCCTTGGCGGCGGCGACGGTGATGCGGCGCTGCGGGTCCAGCTCCAGCATCGCGCCGACGAGCTGCCTGCGAGATATGGGGAGATATGGGGAGATCTGAGGAGATGTGACGAGAGAATCTCGCGCCGACGAGCTGCCTGCGTGCTGAATACACCGGCGTCAGGACGGTCTCGTGCACGTCAGGACGGTATCGTGCAAGAGTCGAGATATGGGGAGATATGGGGAGATCTGAGGAGATATGGTCTCGTGCAATAGTCTTTCAGAGCACCGCGTGGATACGAGGGGGGGCGAACACAGCGGAGGGCCGCGGAGTACAGTTGAGTCCGTGTCCTCTCGAGCGCTGGTTGGGAGACACGAATACGTACTCCACTGCTGCAGCTAGGAGGAGCTGACCTCGCGGCGGGGGAAATGCCCGGCCATGGCGCGTGCGCAAAGTGGAGTGACGGCCGGATGCCTCGCCGGATCTGGTCGAAGATGGTATCGGAGCAGCCCGCGGTCTCGTTGAAGGGGGGGGAGCCGCAGAGCAGGATGTACCTACGCTCGAAGTCGCATCTCGGGCGTGATCTCGGGTGATCTCGTTCAAGGGGGCCGCAAAGCAGGAGAGTACAGGATCACGCCCAAGGACCAGAGGTCGCACGCAGAGTCGTAGCCTGTTCACAGCTGCAGGTGTGAGCAGACGCCGTTCACAGCCGCCTCCTCCAGAGGTCGCACGCAGACTCGTCGCCTCGCTTTGACTCGCGGCAGCCGAGCACTTCCGGCGCAAAGTACTGCGGCGTCCCGCAAAAGGTCGACGCGACGCGGTCCTACGGGGCGCGCGTCACGGACGTGTCGTGGACGTGTCCAGGCAGAAACCCGCGGCAGCTGCGAGCCGACAGGTGTGTCCTGGCCGACCAGCTTGGCGAGCCCAAAGTCGGCTATCTTGCAGACGGGGACAGCGCCGCCCTCCGGCGCAGCCTGCAGCAGGACGGGGCGCGGGCTGGAGGGACGGCCGAGCGGCAAGCCGAGGGGGTAGCCGAGGGCATCTCTCCCCAGATCTCGCCAGATCTCGCCAGCCCGCCTGCAGCAGGATTTCTCCGGCTTGAGGTCGCGGTGCATATCTCCCCAGATCTCCCCAGATCTCGCCAGATCTCGCCAGACCGCCTGCAGCAGGATGTTCTCCGGCTTGAGGTCGCGGTGGACGATTGACTTGGAGTGGAGGTAGCCGACCTGCGGGAACGATCACACCGCCCTCGGGGTGCGAAGGCGGCCGAACGCAGCGGAGTACGTGTCCTCTCGAGCGCTAGTTGGGAGACAAGAACCGTCGTCCGCTTCTAGGACAGCCGACGGCATCGAGCAGCTGCGCCATGACGGCGCGCGCGCCCACCTCCTTGAAGGCGCCGTGCTCAATCAGGTGGTCGAAGAGCTCGCCTGCGGAGATACGGGGAGATACGGGGAGATACGGGGAGATGTGGGGAGATACGGGGAGATATGGGGAGATATGGGGAGATACGGGGAGATATGGGGAGATATGGGGAGATCGGGTGGTCAAGGAGCTCGTTTGGCGAGATGTGGGGAGATGTGGGGAGACGTGGGGAGATGTGGGGAGATCAGGTGATCAAAGAGCTCACCGCCCTCGACGAGCTCCACCAGCAGACAGAGCTCGGTCTCCGTCTCAAAGACCTACTCTCGTTGTCGTGAAGTACGACTCCGCTCCACCAGCAGGCAGGGCTCGGTCTCCGTCGCGAAGACGTCGTAGAAGCGGATGATGTGCGCGTGGTGCAAAGACTTGAGGATCCTCGCCTAGGGAGATATGGGAGATATGGGGAGATAGCGGGGAGATATGGGGAGATATGGGGAGACTTGAGGATCATCGCCTGGGGCAGCGGGCAATGAGCGGCTACCTCACAGCGCGCAGCTGCTCCTCCACCATCCCGCTCCTCAGAGAGGATCGGGTGCAATCTCGCGTAATCTCGCGTACTCTCGCTCCTCAGAGAGCGTCAGCCGGGTGAGCTCGCATCTCCCCACATCTCCCCACATCTCCCCACATCTCCCCGCATCTCCCCGCTCCTCGGAGAGCGTCAGCCGGGTGAGCTCGCATCTCCCCACATCTCCCCACATCTCCCCACATCTCGCCACACCTCGGAGAGCGTCAGCCGGGTGAGCTCGCATCTCCCCACATCTCCCCACATCTCCCCGCATCTCCCCACACCTCGGAGAGCGTCAGCCGGGTGAGCTCGCATCTCCCCACATCTCCCCACATCTCCCCGCATCTCCCCACACCTCGGAGAGCGTCAGCCGGGTGAGCTCGCATCTCCCCACATCTCCCCACATCTCCCCGCATCTCCCCACATCTCGGAGAGCGTCAGCCGGGTGAGCTCGCATCTCCCCACATCTCCCCGCATCTCCACACATCTCCCCGCATCTCCCCACACCTCGGAGAGCGTCAGCCGGTGAGCTCGCATCTCCCCGCATCTCCCCGCATCTCTCCACACCTCGGAGAGCGTCAGCCGGGTGAGCTCGCATCTCCCCACATCTCCCCACATCTCCCCACATCTCCCCGCATCTCCCCGCATCTCCCCGCATCTCCCCACACCTCGGAGAGCGTCAGCCGGGTGAGCTCGCATCTCCCCACATCTCCCCGCATCTCCCCACATCTCCCCACATCTCCCCACATCTCCCCGCATCTCCCCGCTCCTCGGAGAGCGTCAGCCGGGTGAGCTCGCATCTCCCCACATCTCCCCACATCTCCCCGCATCTCCACACACCTCGGAGAGCGTCAGCCGGGTGAGCTCGCATCTCCCCACATCTCCCCGCATCTCCCCGCATCTCCCCGCATCTCCCCACACCTCGGAGAGCGTCAGCCGGGTGAGCTCGCATCTCCCCACATCTCCCCGCATCTCCCCACATCTCCCCACACCTCGGAGAGCGTCAGCCGGGTGAGCTCGCATCTCCCCACATCTCCCCACATCTCCCCGCATCTCCCCGCTCCTCGGAGAGCGTCAGCCGGGTGAGCTCGCATCTCCCCACATCTCCCCGCATCTCCCCACATCTCCCCGCATCTCCCCACACCTCGGAGAGCGTCAGCCGGGTGAGCTCGCATCTCCCCACATCTCCCCGCATCTCCCCACACCTCGGAGAGCGTCAGCCGGGTGAGCTCGCATCTCCCCACATCTCCCCGCATCTCCCCACACCTCGGAGAGCGTCAGCCGGGTGAGCTCGCATCTCCCCACATCTCCCCACATCTCCCCACATCTCCCCGCATCTCCCCACACCTCGGAGAGCGTCAGCCGGGTGAGCTCGCATCTCCCCACATCTCCCCGCATCTCCCCGCATCTCCCCGCTCCTCAGAGAGCGTCAGCCGGGTGAGCTCGCATCTCCCCACATCTCCCCACATCTCCCCGCACCTCGGAGAGCGTCAGCCGGGTGAGCTCGCATCTCCCCACATCTCCCCACATCTCCCCACATCTCCCCACATCTCCCCACACCTCGGAGAGCGTCAGCCGGGTGAGCTCGCATCTCCCCACATCTCCCCACATCTCCCCGCATCTCCCCGCATCTCCCCACACCTCGGAGAGCGTCAGCCGGGTGAGCTCGTCCGGAGGCAGGCCTCTCGCGCGGCTGGCGGTGAGCAGCCTGCGCTTCTCGATCGCCTGAGATATGGGGAGATATGGGGAGATATGGGGAGATATGGGGAGATATGGGGAGATATGAGGAGATATGGGGAGATATGAGGAGATATGGGGAGATCTGGCGACCACCGCCTTGGCAGCTGACTCACCGCTGATTCACAGCGGCCCACGCGTGGAAGTGTCCCGGAAGTGTCTCGGAAGTGTCCCGGAAGTGTCTCGGAAGTGTCTCGGAAGTGTCTCGGAAGTGTCTCGGAAGTGTCTCGGGTGTGGCAGTCTAGCTCCTGCTGACGGAGCCATCTCCTCGGTGTCTCGGGCGTGTCTCTGACACTGTCTAGGGCGTGTCTCTGAAAGTGTCTCTGACAATGTCTCTGACAGTGTCTCTGAAAGTGTCTCTGAAAGTGTCTCTGACATTGTCTCTGACAGTGTCTCTGACAGTGTCTCTGACAGTGTCTCTGACAGTGTCTCTGACAGTGTCTCTGACAGTGTCTCTGACAGTGTCTCTGAAAGTGTCTCTGAAAGTGGCCCGCCTTCATCGCATACTTGTCGCCGGTCCGCCGGTGCACCACCTTGCGTAGGGTGGCAAAGGAAAGGTCAAGGAAAGGTCAAGGAGCGGTCTAGGAACGGTCTAGGAACGGTCTAGGAAAGGTCTGGTGGACCCCTTGTGAACGGTGGCGAAGGAGATATGGGGAGATGTGGGAAGATCGCGGTGGACCACCTTGTGCACGGTGGCGAAGGAGATATGGGGAGATATGGGGAGATATGGGGAGATCGCGGTGGACCACCTTGTGCACGGTGGCGAAGGAGATATGGGGAGATATGGGGAGATATGGGGAGATCGCGGTGGACCACCTTGTGCACGGTGGCGAAGGAGCCGCGGCCGAGCTCCTGCGGCGAGATGGGGGGAGATGGGGGGAGATAGGGGGAGATACGGCTCCTGCGGCGAGGAGACAGCAGAGTCGGGGCTGCGAGCACATACGGCTGCAAGCACGGCGGAGTGCGGCGAGCTGAGCGCACTAGGTGATGCGCGGAGCACGCCCTGCCGCACCCCTCCCTCTGGTGATGGGGAGAGAGGTGGGGGGTGTTGCGGGTGCGT